GATGCTATGGCCAAGCGGAAGGGAAAGGGTAAAGACAAGAAATTGAATAAGGGCGGAAATGAAGGCCCGAGCGACATTTACAAGATTGTGAAAATGATCATGCTGAAGAACCTCAACCCCGTCATTGTCTTCAGTTTCAGCAAACGTGAATGCGAGTCGTGCGCTCTCAAGATGAGTACCTTGGCTTTCAATGATGATTCGGAGAAGGAGATGGTATCCAAGGTTTTCAACAGCGCTATCGAGATGCTTTCCGAAGAAGACAGGAACCTGCCTCAAATTCAAAACATTCTACCTCTGCTTCGGAGAGGTATCGGTGTCCATCATTCTGGGTTGCTTCCTATTCTCAAAGAAACAATCGAGATTCTCTTCCAAGAAGGACTTATCAAGGTGCTGTTCGCGACGGAAACATTCTCAATCGGTCTGAACATGCCGGCAAAGACTGTGGTCTTCACGAGCGTCCGGAAATTTGACGGTTTTAGCCAGCGCTGGGTAACGCCGTCCGAATTCGTCCAAATGTCTGGCCGAGCTGGTCGAAGAGGTCTTGATGACCGCGGTATCGTGATCATGATGGTTGGTGAAGAGATGGATCCTGCGGTGGCGAAGGAGATTGTGCGCGGAGAGCAGGATAGGCTCAACTCGGCTTTCCATCTGGGGTATAATATGATACTGAACTTGATGCGTGTGGAAGGCATCTCGCCCGAGTTCATGCTCGAGAGATGCTTCTACCAGTTCCAAAACACGGCCGGTGTTGCCGAGCTCGAGAAACGTACGCTTAATCACTCGATAACTGGAAGGAGGATATTTGTGCTGACCCCATTGCAGAACTCCAGGAATTTGAAGAGAAGAGGGCCAACATGACCATTTCTGACGAAGGCACCATTCGCGAATACTATGAATTAAGGACGCAGCTCGACAAGTTTGCAGATGACATACAAGCAGTCATCAGCCACCCAGATTATTCTTTGGCCTTTATGTCTCCGGGTCGTCTAGTGCACATCAAGCACAAAGACAAAGACTTCGGATGGGGCGTGGTTGTCAATTACAAACAACGGAAGCCACCAAAGAATTCAACGGAGGAGATTCCTCGTGACAAGAGATATGTCGTTGATGTTTTGCTCAATATTGCCGAAGGGCCGTCTGTGGCCACAAAGACATTTGAGGAGTTGCCGTCTGGAGTCAGACCAGTGAAAGAAGGGGACAACTCTCGGATGGAGGTCGTTCCAGTCCTTACCGAATGCATCCGTGCCATCTCCCATGTACGAATGAAGCTTCCCAAGGACCTGAATCCAAAAGAAGCGAAAAATGGAGTCAAGAAATCTCTTGCTGAGATCCATAAGCGCTTCCCTGATGGCATTGCTACACTTGATCCGATTGAGGATATGAATATCAAGGACGAAAGTTTCAAGAAACTACTCAGGGTAAGAAATATATTTCTTCTGCATTTTGTATTGATTGTGTGCATTGCTGACTATCATCACAGAAAGTGGAGGTCCTCGAGTCTCGTTTGCTTTCCAACCCACTGCACAACTCGCCCCGGCTACCAGAACTTTACGAGCAATATTCTGAGAAGGTGGAGTTAGGAACAAAGATTAAGGAGACGAAGAAGAAGATTTCCGAGGCCATGTCCATCATGCAGCTTGATGAGCTCAAGTGCCGTAAGCGTGTACTTCGTCGGTTCGGTTTCATCAACGAGGCCGAAGTCGTGCAGTTGAAGGCACGAGTCGCCTGCGAGATCAGCACAGGAGACGAGCTCATGCTCAGCGAGCTTCTTTTCAATGGTTTCTTCAACAAACTTTCTCCGGAACAAATCGCTGCTGCATTGAGTGTATTCGTTTTTGAGGAGAAGTCCAAGGAGACTCCTGCTCTGACGCGGGACGAGCTGGCGAAGCCCCTAAAGGAAATCCAAGCGCAGGCCCGCATAGTTGCCAAGGTCTCTCAAGAGTCCAAGCTGGCTGTCAACGAGGAGGAATATGTAAACAGTTTCCACTGGGAGCTTATGGAGGTCATGTATGAATGGGCGAACGGCAAATCCTTTGCTGATATTTGGTAAGTTATCCATCTGTCGGCGCTCTGAGGCAAAGTCTACTTCGAAAACTAACTCGCCTGTCTCATTAGTAAAATGACCGATGTTTATGAAGGATCGTTGATTCGGGTCTTCCGTCGATTGGAGGAGTGTCTCCGTCAGATGGCGCAAGCCTCCAAGGTCATGGGTAACGAGGAACTCGAGAGCAAATTCGAGGAAGCTCTGACTAAAGTGCGCAGGGACATTGTGGCTGCACAGTCCCTGTACCTGTAAATATCATTTTCTTTCTTTTCTTTTTATACCTCCTATGGCCTATGTTGGTACCTTAGGGAGTATTTATGTGTCGTACGGTCACGATCGTTTTGAAGAAGTCTCGCATTTCCCTGGCGTCGGAAATGGAAAAAAGGGTTTCATTGTTTGGTTCCTGTCTACTCTAATGGACGACAGACGTTTCTATGATTTTGAAACCTTGTTCAAGCTTCTATTAATCACACATAATTGTAGAAATGAAATCTCGTCCCCTGAAACTTCACTTGTAATGATCATGGATGGTGTCATGGACCAAAAACCTGCGCAGTCGGCCTGCGTTGCCTCCCGCAACCGCCTGCAAGTCCACCGCTTTTCTTTCTTTCGCCCTTCCCCACCACTCACCTCACCTCAACTCAACTCGTCCTTACATCCTCTCTCTCGCTCGCTCTCTTTCCTTTCTCTAATCCTCCATCTTCTTCTTTTGTTTGGAATCTTGTCTTTCCCTTGATCTATACCTCCTTCCCGCCCTCCTGCTTTCCTGTGCTCGAAATCCTCGTTTCCCTCTGCCACAGAGAGATATCGGTACTTCTTCGCCATCAACTGTTTGTGATCCATCATGAACAGCTTGGTGGCTACACCACCTGTGCCTCCACACTTCTACGAGTATTCTCGTCTCTCCTCTCCACATCCAAGTAAGTGACTTTTGAGGTTTAGGAGATCGAGATTTGGAGCTCACGACTTTTTCCAGTGTCTACCCCTACTCATACACCCAGCAACCGTAAACGGAAAGCCGATGATGATGGCAATGATCACGATGGACGGATGTCAGCTTCTCCCACCAACTCGCCCGCCTTCACTCCTCGATCTCTTCCGGCTCCTCGCTCCTTCAAAAGGTCCCGGCCCAACGTCTCTGGCAGACCACTCTCCCTCCCACGACTGCTGGAAACCCTCGACACAGATGCCTTGAGGGGGATACTACGGTCAATGTGCGAGCGTCACCCGGCTTTGGCTGACGAAGTCATTCATACGTCTCCACGCCCGAGTGTTTCCTCTGCTCTCCAGGTTCTCCGCAATTACCAATCGACTTTACAAAACTCATTCCCATTAGGTGGCAATCCTGAGTCCGACTATGCCTACAACCGTGTCCGACAGCCGCTGGGGAATCTGCTGGATGCTCTGAGTGATTTCACACCGCATTTCTTGCCGCCACATGAAACGCAGGCGTCCGTGTCTCTGAGTTATCTGGACGGGGCAACAGATATCATTCACGCATTGCCACGATGGCACTCACCACAGAACAACATAGAGCGGGACTCTGCGTATGATGAAATTTGCAAGGCATGGATTCTGGTAATCCGAGAGGCGGCGAAGCGTGGTGGCGGAATTCAGCTACAGTATGGTGGATGGGATCAGAAACTGGCGAAGCATAACCAAAATGCTGGCGGTCGACTTCAGGCTGCCGTTAACGAGCTTGGTAACAGCTTGGGTTGGATGCACGGCCCAGACTCCCAAAGCTATGGAAGTTCGACTGGTGGGGACCATGTCTCGGTCCGGGAGCAGTTACTTTCCGGCACTTATGGCTTGGGAACTCCCGTCAAAGTTGGACCCTGGTAGAGAAGCACTTCTCGAGTCTCGCTCGTTAAATGCACCCTTGCGGCAGCGTTGCGGCTTTACTCGTCATTTTCGATAGCTACTGTCCGATTCCTCGACCGTGCACGCCTACATATGATACGATCACGATACTATTGCATGAATTAGAGAGTTGAGGATCTCCTGACATTTACAGTTTGCAAAGGGACACTGCGCTTTATTTATTGTGTCATACTTCCGGAAACCAGGCTCGTCGTCTTTTTTTATCGTTACCTAGAGAGAGCACAAGGCTACGGGAAATACTTCTGTTATCGCGTCTTCTTGCCTGTCAAGCTACATCATACCACCGCCCACATGGACCATCACTAGCCTCTTTTCCTCTATTTCTCCATTCCTTCTACTCACTTTTCCTTTTTCATTTCTGTTTTTATTCTGCTACGGCCGACTTCTGAAGATTATCCCTGAGTTTTGTGCCATTTGACGGCAATCATTTCCCCTATGTCCGCTACCTGTCTTGTATACCCTTTGGCCCATTCTTTTTCCCGCTCTTCTCGATCATACTGGTGGCTGAAACTTGGTGTCATCTTCAATAACGGTGGCTTCGATCATATTCTGAATTATGTGCCAGATGGGCCATGTGTCAAGTAAAAGATACAGATGCTCTCAATCCGTGCGTGACTAGCATGCTCGGTTTTCGATGAAACAAGTCGCATTCACAATGCGTCGATTGGGAATTTGTGTCTAGACAAACCTTTTAGCCCAGCAGAATGATTGTCGCCGCGCAACACTGTGGAACTTCAGAGGCATCAGAGACTTGTCCTGGTCCACCTACATGTGGGTATGCATATTGGCCTCTTACACACAAAAGCAACCTAAATACTAGATCTAGAGGGTGAGACGGAATAGAAGGGATATGACCGTGGATAGATTGTAATATTAGTCATGGTTTCAAAATGAATCAGCAGAATCTTGGTTGATCATGAGTTAGGTGAATGTTAAAGTAAAGGAGGGAGCTCCAGATGATCTTAAAGCGAACTTTGGTAGTCATATCCTCGAGAAATATGAGTGATGGTTGAGTCGAAAAATGGAGCAATGCATGACAAAAATTGAACAATGGAGAAACTGCGTTCTGTAAGGCTCATGACAGTGCACGCTTCATGACACGGAGGAGCCACCCTGCATCCTCCCAGCCTCCATTCTCCCCTGGCTTCTCTACCACAGTCGAACCTATAGATTCGTCAGCCGACACGCTAGCATTGTCATCGGTCAATTCTGCCGCAGAGTGATCATCGAGGACATTGTTCTCCTCTGGAGATACGTCGGGATGCTTTGCTGGCTGGACGGACTGAGCATTTGCAGAAAGAGGTAGATCTTCGACACCGAATAGTGTCCACTCGACCATCCGATCGATCCAGCTGCCCAGGCCGAATCCCCTCTCCCGAGTCAAACGCTGCAGTTCCTGCTCGTCGATCTCGTCCTCCGAGTCGGACTCCTCGTCCGAGGCCGATGCATACCCGACCTCGAATTGCTGGATGGATGCCATCTCCGCGCGGATACGCTCATCTACAAAGTCAGGGACGAAATGGCGTGTCTCCTCGTCGGGACCGGCCGAGAAATGAGCATTCGATCCTGATTTAGTGGAGAGCACATCGAGGCTCGTCATAGCCAGATCGGGTCTGCTGTTCCTTCGACTTGCCGCACGGGATCCCCATCTCGAATGCGCGGCCGGCGTAGACCTCCCGGATCTCGACCGGCGGGCCAAAACCGGGCTATCGTGATTCATTTCCGAGACGAGGCTCGTCGAGCTCTCGCGTTTCACAAGCCAGCTCTGGCCTTTTTCCTCTCGCGTAGACGAAGCGAGCGCGATCCCGGCCCGAAGCATCCATTCTGCATCGCGGCGTCCGGCTGACTCGGACGGCTGATGCCGCGACGAGGGTGCGTGCTTCTTGTTGGATCCATGTGGTTGGTGATGGTGCAGGGGTTGTGCGTCGTCCTGGCTCTGCAGGCTGCTGTCGCTGCGGTGGATACGACTTGAGCTCTTGCTTCGGGAGTGCAGACGGACTCGGGATCCGCTGCGGGAATACGAGAGGACGCCCGGGGTCCCTGGAACGGAAAAGCTTGAGAGATAGGATGTCCGGGTTGGTGTGTCGGCAGGTCGCTCATCTCGTGGTGAGAAATAGTCCTGTGGTTCTGTCTCGTCGTCGATGGGGAACCGATTTGTCAATGGTGCGAGCGAAACATGATTTAGTGAGGGATATGAGCGGCGGGATCGAAATCCGCTCCCGCTTTGGGATGCAGAACCCTGTAGAGCTGAGTGAGTAGATAGAAGGAATACAGATGGAAGGAGAGACTCGTACATCCATTCCGATGTTCTGCTGAGAGCTTGATGGAGCGGCTCTGGGCTAGGAGGGGAGAGGAATGATCCGCTTAAAGAGCTCTTAGTAGCTTGCAAGCTTGGGGTAATAAGATGGGATGATGTACTCCGTAGAAGAGGAGGTGCGGCAAGGATTCGCTGACTCTCCCTTCTCCGCCCGAGCTGTTGGCTGTCGGCATGTGAAAGTGGGCTCTTGGATAGACAGAGCTTAAGGTACCTCTTGTTGAGTGACTCTTTGGTCTAGGATCGGGTAGTGCATCATTGCAGAGCGTGGACCTGGCGAATCGATATTTATTGTGTTTTGACAGTATTTCGTATGACCTCGTGACATGCTCGTGGAAATACCATATGATGAAGCACAACCTGGGGTAAATCTCCACATCTCCACTATATAGTTACTATCCACCCGATGATACAGCAATTCGGTGTCAACATAGTACGTAGAACATAATAACAAATATAGTACTATACACAGAAGACTAGCTGGCGGAACGGTATTCATTTTGCTAATTTGATTTCGGCTTGCTTTTTCTACAGAATATAGTCGATTTTCATACGATTTTCCCCTTGTTCACAACGAATGCCTCGATAGCAGAAATTGCAGCCCACAGCCGGTTCTCGGCCTCAGGGAAGACTAGGGACCGCTGGCTGTAGAAGACTTCATCGTGCACCTCCTCCGGGTGACGGGGCAAGCAGTGCATAAATTTCCACCCTTCCTTGGCACCACCACGTTTGGCCAGATCGGCTGTGATCTGGAAGCCTTCAAAGTCCCTGAGCCGCTTGATCGATTCGGCTTCCTGTCCCATGGATACCCATGTGTCTGTGACCAGAACATCTGCGTCCTTGACAGCCTCCTCAGGAACAGTAGTCTGGATGAGCTTTCCGGGGCTGGCCACGCCTTCTCCGGCCTTCTGGATGATCTCCAGCATGTGGGCAGGAATCTCGTAGCCCTTGGGCGTGGCAACAGCCAGGTCAATGCCCATCTTGGCTGCCGCAATGGCCATATCAAACAAAACGTTATTCGCATCGCCGATCCAGGCGATCTTCAAGCCCTCCAGACCCAGGCTGGAGAGATGATGAGCCTTGGGTGTGAAAGTTTCGTGCATGGTCTGAAAATCGGCAACGGCTTGCAGCGGGTGGAATGAGTCACAGAGAGCGTTAATCACAGGGACGGTCGAGTGCTTCGCGAGGTCGGCAACTTCGGCATGCTTGCCGACGCGAGCCACAATGCAAGAAACCATCGAAGAGACCACCACCGCCGTGTCGTAAAGGGACTCATTAACACCCAATTGAATGTCATCCTTTCCCAGAAACATCGGGTGTCCTCCCATCTGCACCACGGCACCCTCGGTCGAAATCCTAGTTCGAGTACTCCGTTTACTGAATATCATGGCCACGGTCTTCCCGGTCAGGGCTCCAAGGAGATTCTGAGGCAGGGAGCCCGATTTGATCGAGCGTTTGTACGAAGAGGCATTGCGGACGAGGGTAGCGAACTCGGTAGGGGTCAGATCGGCAATGGAGAGGAAATGGCGAGGCGCGAAAGGAGAGGTAGGAGGGGTAGTCTGGGACGAATATCGTCGCAAGGCATTGAGGGAGACTCGTTGACGCAAGTGTTGCCCGTTCAATGCGCCGTATCGGGCGGCGGCGAGTTTTAAACCGCAAGCCATGGTAGATGAGTTTGAAATATGGAATTGAGAGAATTGACGACCCTATAGATGTGGTGATATACAACTCAGTAAAGGAATGACTCAGAGAGATTATCCAAACAATTACATAGTCTACTTACCTGGAAATGATTCAGTCGAAGTTAAAAGCAGTTTAGTGTATTCAATTATCGGATCGACTCATACCAATTATTATTATTAAATAATAGCTGATAGTTGATAGTTGGCCAAGCTATTGGACTGGTTAGTTGAGCTCCTCCACAACTGGAGACACTCCTATCAGCACTTTATTATTGGGCCGTTGGCGGTGTCACCTACTTACGTCGTTGATCATCATCTAGTCTTCTCCAAGTATGGGTATCTTACCTATCTATCCATCAACCTATTCTTGTTCTCCTCATCTTTGATCTCGTTATTGTTATATAATTACATCCTTCTATAGTACTCGTATAGATCTATTCTTTGTTCTATCTCCACAACTCTGGATAATTATCCGTTCTATCGCTCCACATTCGGCTGCCTTCCCCACTCCTAGCCATTATGGCTGAGGAAGAACGCAGACCACTGCTCAACGAGGGACCGTCTACGGATAGCTCATCCTCTCACGCAGATCGACCGCTTCGACCATTCGAGTTGGCATCAGAGTCTACGCCTCTCTTAGTCCGTCGGGATGACGGCGATATTGTTGCGTATGGCACCGCGCCTCGGAGAGCATCAGCCTCATCGTCAGCGTCTGAGACCTCCAGTTTGCACAAGTATTCCAAGCGTTTGGGTGGCAGGATAAGATGGCAATTTCTCTGCGCGTTCCTCACACTGATGGCTGTCGTGTCCATCCTTGTATTCGCTTTTGTGGCACCAGCGGTCGTGAAGGAATATGCAAAAGAAGCTGCAGTATTCAAACCTACGGATATCTCCATTAATTCGACCACCGAGGATGGTGTGCGAACCAGAATTCAAGGGAAATTCGTCTTGGATGCAGACCGTGTTCAGAAGCGATCAGTCCGGACTCTAGGCCGGTTGGTCACATGGATTAGTAGGGAAGTCGAAACGGGTCAGTCGGAGGTACATGTCTACCTTCCAGACTATGGAAATATTCTCGCCGGCACAGCCTCTCTACCCTCCATCAAAGTGAATGTTCAGAACGGTCATACAAACAACATTGATTTTCTGGCAGATTTGATCGCCGGCGACCTTGTGGGTATTCGTGCAGTAGCGGACGATTGGATTGCAGGGAGACTTGGTCAGCTCAGGGTCAATGGAAAGGCCATTGTTCATCTCAAATCTGGTTTACTGAGCTTGGGTGAGCAAATAGTGACTGACTCTATAACATTCAAAGGTTAGTTCCGTCTACCCGCTGCTGTTGTTCATCTTGGCAGAATGTTCCTCAATCGCTGACACTGTCTATAGATAAAGACTTCCCTGCTTTGCCTGAGGTCAAAATCTCGAAGCTGAATGTCTATGACCTGGATACCCCTGGCGGAAGTGGCGCATTGGCGTTTGATGTGTCGCTTACTGCATCGATTGATTCTCCTTTATCCCTGACGATACCCTCGCTCGGCTTTGAGCTGCTCGTACCGAATTGCTCGCCGGGGGACCCGAACATCTTGGTAGCAGATGCGGTCACAAAGGAATTTCAGATCGAACCTGCTGCCAGTGCTGTCATGAATGTAGTTGGTACTATGCAAAGTCTCTCCGACGAATTGACAAGAGCTTGTCCCGGAAGGGAAGACTCACCACTTGATTTTCTCGTCAAGAGCTATATGAACGGCCGCCCAACTACGCTTTACATCCGTGGAGCAGATAACCCGTCCCTTGGAGCTCCACCTTGGCTTGCAGACATCTTGAAGGGTGTCACAGTACCAATGCMCTTCACAGGACATGCACTGGACAACTTGGTCAAGAACTACACGATGTCAGACGTGCATCTCAGTCTTCCAGATCCGTTGGCTGAGCCAGACTCAGATGAATCTCAACCAAGAATATCGGCCCTGGTCAAGGTGCTAGTTGCACTGCCGGAGCAGATCAACTTGCACGTAGACATCCCACATGTTCGTGCCAATGCTGATGTCTTCTACCATGGCAAAGAGCTTGGGGTCATGAATCTTCCAAAGTGGCAGCCCGCCAATGCAAGTTATGTCAAAGACACAGACGGTTCCCAGGCGTTGCTCGTAAACTTTGCGATGAAAGATGCACCGCTAAGGGTTACTGATGAAGATGTCTTGACCGAAATCCTCCAATCTCTGATTTTTGAAGGGAAGCCGGTTGACCTACGTGTCGTTGCAGCGGTCGATGCGGAAGTTGTAACGAAGCTTGGCCAGTTTGCCCTCAGAGGCATACCGGCCGAGGGAGCTGTTCAAATCAAGCGTGAGTACATTGGCAAGGTCAACTTCCGAAAAGAATAGATCGCTGACCTGTGTAGCTCCTTTCTCTGGCTCTTTTGATGAATTGATGCCACGGTTGAAGTCTCTCGAAGTTGGGCCTACAACCGATTCTTCCATGCTGGTCGAAACGAGAGTGAATGTCACCAATCCAACGGAATACTCAGCAGCAGTACCTTACGTCGACTTTATGATGTTGTACAATGGGACTAAAGTCGCCAATATCACGGCCCTAGACATCGCGTTGGCTCCGAAGGCAGATGCTACAGTTCGGGTCGATATCATGTGGGAGCCGTCCAAAGGAGGTCAGGATGGTGTAGAAGCTGGTCGAGAATTTCTATCAAAATGTGTCTCAGGTAAGATACATAAAAACCTATCTTAGAATCGTTCACGTCATCGTCAAGGTTCTGACCAACGTCTAGGGTCCAACATTACCGTGACGGTGCAGGGTCATGAGGGAACTATCCCGGCATTACCTAAATTCGGGCGAGCATTATCAAAGTTGGGCTTTGAGTTCCAACTCCCCATGATGTCCATTCCCGGGTCACCCAAGGCACCCAACGGTGACAATGGGGACACCAGGTTCATTCAAGAAGCAACGGTACTACCTGCCTTGATAGGAGCCGTTTTCCCCTCATGAGTCTCGAATTCGTTCTAGCATGCCACCAGTTGGCAATGTGTTTTTTGGCATAGAGCTCATTGTTCTCGGACCAGGTTTCTTTTTGAACAGGGACTAATCTACGTGTGCTCTTAGCTGCACCTTTGGTCATCCACTGCCGAGTTCACCCTATTTTCGCCTCTCCCGAAGACGCTGATAGACATCATGTCTGTGCAAGCCAACGCTTACTACTTGGGACACGAAGAGGTCGGAAGTATTAACTACTCCGTTCCTTTCCAGGTGCTCCCGGGGGTCTCGAAGACGCCCCGGATGCCTGTCGAAATGAATCCGGATGGTATCGGCTACGATGCTCTGAAACGAGCTCTGGGAGGTTCACTTGAACTTTTTGCAATGGCCACGGTTGGCGTTCGGGTAGGCCACTATACAACCACAATTGACTATCACAGCAAGGGAATTCGGGCCAATGTGAAAATCTAATACGGAGTACGTGTTTTGGGGGTTAGGGACTTTCTTGGCGCTCTTAGGGTATAAATTAGGCGTTTGGGTATGAATTCTACCGCAGGGCGATCTGAGATCACGTATAGATGAGCCCGATTCTACAGTATGCTTTTCCTCACTACCTAGTCATATCTGCTAGCATGCTTGGATTGAGACCGCATTCAATAGGAATTAAAACACGCGACTAGCGGAATGAATCAAATTCAAGGAAGAAAGCGCTAGGATATACAAGTAACAAGCATGAACCCGGACAGTGATCTCAGAATGAGCCAATCAACTTGATATTCCCAGATAAAAGACATATCAATTACAAATTGTTACCAAGGAACACGGTCGATTTCACCAGGCTTCGAGTTACAACTAAGAAATTTGCTTTTCACAGCGGACGATTTCGTATTGGGCATGGTAATTAACCAGGAGGAAGGGTGCTAGCATCGACAACATCGGCAGCCTCTTTCTCAAGCTCCTCGCTGGGTTCAGAAGAAAGAGGAGAACGAGGAAGGGCCATGAGACCAGTCCGCGTGGACTCGAGAATACCGAAGGGGCTGACAAGCTTCAGGAACGAGTCAATACGAGAAGGCTTGGCGGAGCTGTCGAAACGTTAGCCGATGCTAGATCGCGAATTATGAAGGACCAGACKTATAAAGCTTACACTTCAACAATGCAGTTGTTGGTGCTGATGTCCAAAACCTTGCCGCCAAACTGGTGAGTCAAGCGGGTGATGGCATCAAGATGCTCATGCTTGTGTCTCAGTGCCTGACTGGGAGGCAGATGGCGAGGATGAAACTCGACTTTCTTGCTCTGCGCATTGCTAGCCTTGTTGTCCTTCTGCCCTTCCAGGGCGTCACCGGGCGTGGTGATCTCGCGGTGGTGCTGGAGCAGCTCCTCGAAGAACTCGGGGCCCAGGATGCTGACCTTGGCGAGCAGAAGCTCGCGCTGCACCAGGGCCGAGTCAGTGTAATCGAGGACAGCCCAGACGGGGACGAGGTCGTCCAGCTGTCTGCGCGCCTGCTCGACGACACCGTCCTGGCCCTGCAGCACGATGGTCATGCGAGACAGATCCTCAACCTCGGTGTTGCAGACGACCAAGCTGTCGATGTTGAAGCCCCGGGCAGCCAGGATTCCGGACACGCGGGACAGCACACCGGGCTCATTCTGCACCAGGCAGTTCAGGATGTGACGCTTTGGAGGATTGGTCGGTGCGACGGGGGTCTCATACAAAATCGACGAGACGGCCGTGGGGGCGTCCCATTGCGGGGAGGTATCGGACACAGGCAGGGGGAGAGGGGAGCGACGATGCAAGGCCTTGTAGGCCAATGCCGAGGTCGAGCTAGACGATGCTCTGGATGTGGTGAATCGGGGAAGATTGGCTGCCACTCGGGAGGTTTTGGAAGACACCGCTAGAAAGGGCGCTGATGCTGCCGACGACAGCATCAGAGGGCGTCGGAAAGACATTATCTCCCGACTTGACCTGCGACAAAAGCAGGCAAAACAAGAGAGGCTGATCC